ACACATTTTAGATCCTTTCTCTAAAAATAAAATATCCGTGAGTGCACACGTATGCCTACACACACACACACACACACACACACACACACACACACACACACACACACACACACACACACACACACACACACAAAGCATAAAGACGCCGTACGCAGAGAACAGAAAGGGTCTCTTTTCTCAACATTCAGCCTCTGCCTTTGAGGTGCCTCCTATATGAATATTCAGCTACAAACACGAAGGATACAAAGGGACGGCGTGACAGCACACATGAAAAATAAGTTTCTATTGTTCCCAACCATTTCTTCTGCTTGCTATTACCATACTGACCGCTCGGTAACCTTTCTTGCTGCCACTCTGGAAGCTAATGAGAAAAGCCTCGGATGAAAAATGCAATATCAGACATGTGACCTGTTTCGGGGTTATTAAAAACAGCAAACATGCTCAGATTGTGAATCAATGGAATTGATTAGAGCGGTGATGCACAGGGTGCTTCAAACACTGTCAAAAAACATCTCAATCTACATATTTCTCCGCCAGCATCCCGCGCATCAATTTGATTTTTTAAAATTGATTAACAAAGCCTCCCGCCCCAACACACACAGTGAACTCCCGAGAAGTGGTAACAAAAAAATCTAACTCATATTCATTTGGATTTTTTTCATATTCTCATCAAAAGACATGCTGTTTGTCGTGCACACAACCAGTGTGAAAGGAGCTACATACACACCACCTACTCCCTCTCGCCCCATGCGCTCTGGCGGACGCATTTTAATATTAGTTAGACAGCCTGACCCGCGTTTCACCCCTCGCGTTTGACTGGTTCCAATAGTTCACTGCCAAGGATTATTGATGGAGAGACAGCAATGAATTCTTTCTCCCCACAAATGGCTTTCAGATCGTGCACCTAGTTCAATAACTAGTTATAATGTAGAAGTACAAAAAATGAGGCCCTCAGGCAGACTAATTTGATGTTTCATTTGTTCATTTGAGAAATTAAGCTTTCCCTTTTCCTCCCCTGCAAAATAACAGCCTTACAAGCGTGTTCACACATGTACATATGTAAACAAAATAAATCTGTGCAAAACTATGTGGAGGTCGTTCTGTCCACGCAGTGCTGCTCTTTTTCTTTTTTCTTTTTTTTAATTTGGTGGCCGAGTACCTGACCTGGATGCAGACAGTGCAGCAATATTGTGCTCCCTGATGAAAACGGTTACGATGCGCTTTTAATCAAACTCTTAACCTAATAGCCTTTCCACGTTTACTCTCCCCAGGTGTAATAACGTTAAGCTGTATCGTCCAGTTAAAATAAAAAGTTTTAATGAAGTGCAGACAGACTGGAGACTAGTTGGATATGAATACTCTTTAAAAAGCAGCAGCCAAGGGAGCAGAGGCTGTTTCAGAAACCAGATTCCTCCTATAAACAGTTGGTTGGTTTCGAAGCAATGATGTGGTTCATAAGACTCACTGCGAAGTTAAATCCGGCTAACTGGTACTGCAAGAAGTTGAGAGGATAGGATGGTAATTCCATCTTAAGTTTTTGTTTAGGCGTCCAATGTTGGAAATCGTAAGAAACGAGACACAGAACATAACGCCAGAGTGTCTGGATAAATTAAGTGGAAATGCAGATATTAAGGTGGTTGCTGTCATTGAAAAAGCAACTCCGCCAGACAAGCTTTACTCTCAAATAAAGGTAGGCAGATAAGCGTGGGGCAATGCGTAACACTTACTATTAAATCCGCAGTCTCACTCACGTTGGCTCGTTGAAATGCCTGAAAAATAGAGAGAAAGAACGAAAAGAATTAAAAGGGTAATCATGACAAAATGGTTCATAAAGGGAAAAAATTTGCTCATTAAGTGACAAAATGAATTTTTGCGCCCAAACTGCAAAAATAAAATTCTCGAGGAAGAAATTAGCTTTATAATTTGTTCAATTAATATTTTATTTTTAAAACATGTATTAGATACCCCCCCCCCTCAAAAAAAAGAATAGAAAGAAAATGTTACTTAGTGTTCTCTAAATTAACGAAGCAACCTATTTGTCACGGATATCACGCATTTGAAGATGCCATAAACATATGCGGTGTCCGTACCATATTTCCGGTTTTTTGCTCCAATTTTAAAAAGCCACTGTATAATCTAAAAATAAATCTAAATATATAAATTGGCCACATACAAATATGAAAAGGAGATTATATAATACAATCGAAAGCCACAAATGTATTTCATTATAATGATTTCCTTCGTGTTTCCTACAGTAAATCACTCAAAGTTCAAATACAGAAAGAAACTGTTTG